TGGATTTGCATGCTCTCGTAGGTCCGCCTAGAACCAAGCTTAATGCTGACATGACTTGCAATTAACTGTCTTCAGCAGCAACCGTGGCAGTCTACAACTTAGCCATCAGTAGCGCCATATGCAAGGCTTGTCTCGGTTTCCTGGTGTCAATCGGCATACCCTATATCACCTAGGAGATCTGCCCCGCAAGAACGATCCAGCCTTGAACTGATCTCCTGGAGGTTGGAGCGACGAACTACTGGGTTTGCCCTTTAGGGCCAAGTGAAGAGATTGCTGGGCTACGTCTCAGGTTCTCGGCAAGAACAACACGACCATGTCAGGCGAGATAGTGCGAGATCCGTGACAAGTCAGCGTGCCTTAGCCGATGCGACATGCAAACACACTGGCTAAGAGGTCGCCGTTGACTTTTGGCATGCATTTGTCGAGCGCCATTCAAAGGGAACTTGGAACCGCATGACGAAGGCGCTCAAGGCGTGGCCGCTTGGGCCGAGATGGTGTAGAAAGGAGGCTGAGAGGATCAGCGGGAAGTCGTTCCAGGGCTCCGTCATTGGGCAGGATGATGACTAACGGCGCGCTACCCCTTAGCATGCCAACGGATGCGCCTCTCCCATGATACCCTCGTATCCAGCTCGACTGACCTTCGAGGGAATCGAGGCTAGCCGGACTTCCCTGCTACTGTCACCGAATCAGGCTGCACTGCCATGCCAATCTAATAATTAGGGTGGGCGATCGTCACGCGGCGCCCGCAGTTGTTGGAGTGGGTTCTTGGAGCAAAACGCCCATGAACCGCTCTGGCCTCGAAAGCTTCCGATGGCCCTGGAACCGCATTCCCGGTAGCTGAGCTGACTCAAGCCGGCATACCAAGTCCTCCGACAGACGACTCCGCCATGTGTTGCACGCTTCGCACCTTCTAAGTCGTCGACCGATCGCTGCCAGGTCCATGTAGGGACGTCTTACAACCCTCACTACCATTCGCTCGCTACACCATGCGCCTCACACCGCGCGCTACCGAGGCCCCGGAGCCGTATGTTGTGCCACCTTCGAATAAGTTCGATGGTGCCGATGGGAGCTGGAGCACCTTCAAGATCAGCGTTGGAACGCCAGGACAAGACTTTCGTGTACTGCCCAGTACGAAGGGAGGTGTCACATACGTCATTGCACCGGAAGGTTGTTTGGAGGGAGTCGACCCTACAGATTGCCCACAACTCCGAGGGATAGAGGTCTTCCAAAGCGCGCAAAGCACCGGCTTCCAGGTTGACGCGTCGACAACCTGGTCGGCGATCGGGCAATACGACGTCGATTTGGAGGATGCGCTCAACTACACAGGGAGAGGATTGTTTGGCCTGGATACCGTCACTCTAGGATCAGCTGCGGACAGTAGCTCTTCTGTGTCGTTAACGCGCCAGGTCGTCGCTGCCGTTGCCGACCCGGACTATTATCTGGGAATTCTGGGCCTAGGTCAGGCAAAGTCCAGCTTCAACAGTGGGAGCCAGCCGGTCGACTCGTTCCTCTACCTGCTGCGCGAAAGCAAGAAGATCCCCAGTTTTGCATATGCGTATACGGCAGGCGCGAAGTACAGGTTGAAATCTGTATTCGGTAGCCTGATACTGGGCGGCTACGATGCGACACGGTTCGAGACTGGCGCGAACGACTTCTCATTCACCTTCTCACAAGACCCCTCCCGGCTCCTGACTGTTGGAGTGGACTCGATCATGGCTACAAATACGCTGCAGGGCACCTACTCCCTGACTTCTGGAGCACACTTCTCTGTCATTGATTCTACCGTTCCGCATCTGTGGCTACCCGCGGACGTGTGTGCTGAGTTCGAGACAGCCTTTGGCCTGACTTATGATCCTCAGACAGATTTGTACCTTGTCAACGACACGATCCACAAAGAACTCCTATCCAAGAACCCGACCCTCACGTTCAAGCTCGTCGACTCCCTCGAAGACACGACTACAAATTACACCAATATAGAGCTGCCGTATGCGGCATTCGACCTCCAAGCCTCGTACCCGTACTACACAAACGCAACGAACTACTTCCCGATCCGCCGCGCCGCGAACGATACACAATATGCACTGGGCAGGACACTTTTACAGGAGGCATATCTCATAGTAGACTATGAACGCGCAAACTTCACGGTTGCGCAGGCAGTCTTTCCTGATCCTCTACCCGCGTCAGAAGTCATGACCATCAAATCTCCGAGCGATACCACTGCCACGCCAGCTTCATCTTCATCCTCGGGTCTCGGTGTAGGTGCCATCGTCGGCATAGTAATCGGTGCAGTCGCTGCTCTCGCCCTGGTCGCACTTGGTATATTTTTCTTCCGGAAGCGTCGCGGCAAGCAGCAAAAAGAGCAACGATACGAACTCGCAAGCAAGCACATATCGGAGGTTGGTTCAGGCACCGACATCCTCGCTAGCAGCCAGCCGCACAAAGCTGTGGGCCCGCAGGAACTCCACGGGACACCGTTGACTGAGCTTGCCTCTCCTGTCAACGAGCAATTCGTCGGTCATGCGTATCCGCAGGATCAGAAGACAGTTATCAGCATGGCGGATGAGCCACAAGAGCTGCATGGCGAGTCAATGATGCCAGTCACACCTAGATGGCGAGAAGTACAGCTGCCGCAATACCCTGGCCCACGCGAAGCGGATGCCGAGAGTAGCACAGGGCGCAGTGTGAGCGGCATAGCTAGCGACGACGGATACGCGACAGGCGAGTTTGGAGTACGCTCTGGCGTATCACCAATGACACCCCAGTTTCCACAGCATAAATATTAATGGTCAGCATTGAATACTGGGCGGTGGTCATACTAAGGCGTTTGGATTTGGCGTACATCTAGAGATACCACTCATGGATTGGCAATGGGACTTTGGTTATGAGCAAACGAAGCCGAATATCATAATAATTTTTCTCAAAGGCATACGATTCAGCCACCGATAACTCTGCACGCGCCAACTTCGACATCTGAATTTCTTCAACAAACGATGCCGTTGCCGTTTGATACTCGGAGAAGGTTCCAAGGGTTCTGAGAGTGCACAAGCAGATTGATGCTGGTTTCCACAGACTGAAATCACCTGCCAAGAGTTACCGGGTGATCGGCTCGTAGGGCTGAAGGACATGCATTGTCATGACAAGGGTAGCAACACGAAGTTGGAACTGTGGGCTACTGACGAGCTCCATCCGGGAAGTGGAGACGTCGGCCATGATGAATTTGATGTATGTGGTCCCGGCTGCGTACATGCTTCGTTTTTCATGCAAGGACATCTGTCACAGGGAAGTCTACCGCTGCAGTATCGCAATTATGATCTTGTAGATGGCTCCTGGCCATTCTAAGAGCTAATTCTCGAAGTCGAATACGAGACGCAGGGACAACAATGCTAGAGCCATAATTACCACTTGCAGCTTCTCAGGGTGCCCGCAACGCGTTCCGCTCGTGAGGCTGATGTCAGACACCACGTAGGCATATGCAGCCCAAGCATAAAGCGAAGAACGACAAAATCCCAAGCCACTACAAGGCGTTCGCTGCATAACCTGGAAATGAAGTGCATGGATCGCGCTTGACTAGATCCACCTCCAACAGGGCAGCTGGCAGCTGGACTATGTTGAAGCTATGACGTAGGTGACACGCATGGCTGAAGCTACCATCACCCCTCATCCCCGCGCGCCTCCTCCGACCTAGACAACACACCAAACACCTAACTCCTGCCTCTGCCATTCATCCGCGTCAACAGTACACACGTACCCCGATACCCCAACCCACAACCTAAAACAAGCAATTGAAAATGGACAAGATCAAGGAGAAGCTCCACCTTGGCAGCAGCAAGAACAAGACGGCCGAGGACGATGTCCGCGCTGGCAATGTCGGCACTATCGAGGGTAAGTCAGCTTCGAATCCTCGATGATGTACTATACACGTATTCTTCATAAACCACCAATCCAACATCGCGCCTTCCCCGACATCTCAACCTCAGCCTCACCCAACCCACAACTAACCCACTCGCCCAGAGAACCGCGACTCAATCGACTCTGAACTCGCCTCGATGCCCCCCTCAGAGCGCGTCGCCTACCTAAAAGAATTTGAAGACTCAGACAAGCACGACACGCCCAAGAAGGGCGGCCTCCTCGAGAAGCTCATCGCCCGAGGCAACAAGAAGACCGAAGACCAAATCGCCGCCGAGACCAAGGAGCGCGAGGCACGCGACGCAGCCCACCGCGAAGCGACACATGCGTCGCTGGGCCCCGGCGCCGGAGCCAGCGCGCACTCAGCTGCCGGACCCGGTGGATTGTAAGCGACACGGACGAAACAAAGGGAGCATGATTGATGGATTGTGAGCGACCAGCATAAAAGTCCCGGGCGAGTATGATCGGGCTTCGTGGACACACTTTCTGCCTGATTCGATTCGATTGTGAAGAAGGCTTTCTTGGCGATGGACTGCGATTACATCTACATACACTTTTCGAGACATGATGACTTCAATGATATGGTTATGAGCTGAGTTGTGTTTTCGTGGTCTGTACAGTGAGTTGGGTTGTGTGATATGTATCCCGTCTTGCTTCCTCCATATGTCTGTGACATCGTCTATAATGGCTAACGGTCAACAACGCGCGCTCCACTACAGACCACTGATTCCCACCTCATGCAAGCAAAAAAGTTGAACAGGTATGCAGACTACATCAAATCAAAAACCTGCAAAGCAAGTGACCCAACGTCAACGCAGGCTCTGGGGTGAGGTTGGCGTGTCCATGTCTGCGTCGAATCCACTGCTGTCGTATGGGGCTGGGTATGAAGGTGATCCTGGATCAGAACACCGCACACATGAAAATACGTACAGGCTGCCGGGTGGCTGTACGGGTGGTGGGTGAGGAGGGTATATGGAGGCATTTTGGTTGATGCCTTTCTCTTCAGTCGGCGTGACAGGCATCATCTGCTTCTCCTTTCCTTGCTCTTTCTCCTCTTCGACTTCTTTCCCTTTCACATCACCATCTTGCTGACGCTAACGTTGTTCCCAACGCTCGATGGCTAGATTCGCTCCAGCTAGCACACCTCGGCCGATGATGCGGAGTTCGTTACGGTATAGATATACCGTTCCCACCAGAACGAGCGCTCTGGCCCATCCACCAGTGAACCAGCTTGAGGCGCCGGGTTCAACGTAGATCTTGCCATTGAATCCTTTGTGCTTCATCTCGATGTTCAGTGCTGAACTGCCCTTCATAGTGCCGTTTGGGCGGAAGAAACTAGAATAGCATATATGTGTTAGTGATGTTCTAATTGGTGGTTGAGGGAGCAAGGAGAATGTACACTTGGCCGTCTTCGTTCTCGATCTTGAGACTGATGCCCTCTTTGAGAGTTTGAGCCCTAATGCCTTCGCTTATGCTATCTCTTATTGTGTTTTGCAGTTTCCTCAAATCGCTTTCACACTGTAGTTTCTTGGTTTGGTCTTTTAGATCTTGCATGGAAGATGTCTTCCAACCGACCGTATTGTAAAGGGAAGTCATCTTGAGTAAGGTAAGTATTGGTGTTTCTTCGAAATTTGTAACAAATAAACAAAGGCGAGGACAGTTTAAATATTTAAAGTGATGGAAGGGGAAGCAGAAGGTATTTTTCGTTGCGTCAAACATGGTTCTGCCGTGGGCGAGGGTATCTGGTTCCACCTACAGGGTGTCACCTGAACCGAATAGCACAACAAAGGGACGTAAATGAATATGGATAGATGAAATTACTGCCGACCATGGACTCTGTGTCCTAGAACCCTGACTTGCTCAAGTGACGAGCTGGTATGCTACAAGTGCTTTCCAACACGCTCCCTTTTTCCTTCCCAATATCCAATATGTATGCCATATATCCCTAGTCATGTACAAAAGGTTATAATGGCCCCTAAGGGTAAGCGGCGGATGAGAAGCTGGGTAGCGAGATGCGGAGGATCAGTGCTCTGCCCCAATTGTTGCGTTTTGGTTCAGCGTGGAGCTGGTGGTAATGGCTGCCGTTTGTATGGCCAACTTCATACAGGAAGACCCTGTTCATCAGGTGCTTCGGGCGCCCCGCTCACAGCCCCGTATACCCGTATTGGTACCTGCACTTCAAAGCTCTCAGCAGGCAATCGTTGCGCCGCTGCTAATATGACACCTCGGTCGTCACTAGATATTTCTTCCAAGAGGTCGTCCCACGAAGTCTCCTCTCCGTCCTCGTGCGTTAGTCGAGGGGTGATGAACTCGATTCTGAGTTTCCACTCCAGACTGACGCCGCTGGTGATAAACTCCGGTGTCGCATTGGGTGGTATCGTCGGCGAGAAGGCGAGCTTTTGCGCAAACAGAGCATTTTCTGAAAATGATGCGTGCACTTTCTTTGTGACGCGGTATATCGACGCATTAGAGCGAAGCGCTATCGCCGGATCGACTTTCTCTGAAGTCTCCAGAGAGATATGTATTGAGTAACAGGGAATGCGTGAATCTGTGAAGTCGATTACGGCAGACATTGTTTCGCCTAACCTGTAAGAGGGCCGCGCCAACATGATGACCGCGACACGGCGGCCGCTGCGAGCAATCTCGAAGCGATTGGCGCTCTGGTTGGCAGCGCCTGTCAAGTTGCTGCGCAAGATGGCTGTATCGATAGCCTCCTTCATGGTCTGAGGCCCCTCGGCAATCGTTGAGCGCCCGGGCATGGTGCCCGTAGGTGAAAGCAAGCCCATGCTAGAATTGTGCCTAGGTCGATCGAGAAGATTGTCGACATACTCTAGGAAGTCGCTGAAAGTGTTCTCTTCCGACTTGCCCGAAGAAACGCCCTTCTTTGTTGGGGAAAGTTTCGCGCTTGAAGAAGGGTCTATGCTGGCTGTTCGAGCTTGATCGCGCAATATGATGTACGGAGACATGAGATCATGTCCGAGAATCTCGCCACGGCCTGTAAGGGATTAGCATATCGACACCTGTATCCTCAGACTTGACATACTGTTCACACTGCCAAACACCCGAAACGGAACGTCCACATGCTTCACTTGTTGTTCTTTGGTCGATCCCGCGCGTTGTGTGCCAATGATGAGATTGTATGCTACCTTCATCGACCGCCCCTTATGCGAAGGTGGCAGACCTCGGGGTATTGTAAAGCTGTACGTGTAGCTGCGGCTTTCGCCAGGCGCAAGCCGTAAATCGACGAACAGAATGGACTGGGGTGTAGTGATGAGCGGGACAGTCTTGGAGCTGGCAACGCCTCGCATCTCTCGGATACTAGAGGGCTCGGAAGCGCCCAGTAGCCCACCCAGTGACTCTCCTATGTTACCCCAACCGAGCGCGCCAAAGAGCCCACTTTCGCGCTTCGTCTTCTCTACACCCACTACACCACCTCCACCCTGGCCGCCCACTACTCCCTTCCTCTTTACCTCCTCGAAAGGTGCTTGGTTGATCAAGGATCCGTCCAGCGTGAAGGACCCCATGATTTGCGCATAGCCCATCATTATCGACTCTGGCAGAGCTTGTCTATTGGGTGGTGCCAAATGTGACGGTCGCCGATGATGCATCGGTCGCTGTAGTAGACGCGCTGAGGGATGAGCCGCATATTCCGAAGCCAGTGTCTCGTTGGAGTTGTTGCTCATCGAGTAGAACTCTCCACTACTACGCGGGGTGTCATTCATGCTCGACCCAGATATTATCCGCGCAACAGGTGAAAGCACCTCGAGATTGTGGCTTCCAGATGACCGTAGGTAGTCATGTGGCGGTTGTGGGGAGTTGCGCCGGACGTGTATGGGTTGCTTTGTAGGACTGCTACCAGGCTGCGGATGGGTGGCATCGTCGGGCGGAGGTGCGGCAGGGAACTTGAAGTTCTGGGAGAAGGAATTGGACGGTTTTCGCCCTGTAGTCGGAAGAGCTGGGGTACTCGGGGTGGTCGTGACACCAGGCCGTCTCCTGTTCTGACGCGCGGGAAAGGCAAAGTCGTTGGTGTCGCGGGCCAGCGGAGAGGACGCTTCACCAGATAGTGGAGATGGATGAGTCGCTGATCTATGACCTGGTGAAGCAACTGCTATCATGTCAGCCAATGACGTATATTGTACATGTCGTCCGTACTTGGGTATGAGTTTGGCCTGCCAGGCACGACCTGCAGACTGGCTGATCTTCCGTGCCCTCTTGCTGGGCGTCTGATGGGTATGCCCCTCTCGTGGCTGGCTTCAGTTCCCGCATCTGCCCCTAAAGACACAATTGACACGGATCTCCCATGTTTGTGTGTGCCCGTGTTGTTGGCATGGATGATGCTCGGCGCAACAGACGATCGGCGGTCTCCAGCTGTCGATGGCGTATGCAGCGATAAGGCAGGGCGATGTCCGCGAAGCTGTGACGGCGGCAGCTGCGAGGCAAAGGACGAATTGCGGGATACCGAGGGGCGCGTCGACGAGTGGACGGGCGGTAGTTTGCGCTGTCTCTCCCCGCCCGTCCCAAAGCCGTTCTGCCTCCGGACCGGGGAGCGGTCGCGTCCCTCAGGCGGGGCGACATTCTTGAAGGTAATGGTGCATTCTATGTCTTCGCCGGCGAACACGGTAGAGTCCTTCCATTGTACGAATACCCGGGTGTTCGACGCGGACATGGTAGGGAGGCTGGGCGGCGCGGGCTGCGGGTTCGTAGGCAGCTCATCGGGTACGGCGGTCAATCGGCATGGCGACTGCTAGAAATTGGCCCCCAAGACGACTGTAGTAGCAACAAACTCCAGGTTGAGGGTTGGTGACGATGGCGGACTTCAACTGACAGCTGCGCCGTCATGACAGGGATGTCCATGGTCTAGGCGGTCTGTGCTTCTGCTTTGCCTCGTACCTGTCCATCGCGTCTTTGTTCAGCCAACTAAGATACAATGTTCCTCACCTACTAGAGTTCTACCCATCACCCTGAGTCAACATCGTTTGAGTAAAGAAGACGCGACTGGGACTACTGCAATAACCAGTGTTTCCAACCCAATTCTGCCGCCTCCATGCTCACCACAGTCGCGAATGTCGCCGCGTATGCCGCACTGTCTACCAAGAAGCCATCATCCTGCCCCGCGAACATACGCACCGATACGTATTGGATAATACGTGCACGATGCTGTCCGTAGAAGCTACTACCGAGCTCTTCAACGAGCAAGCCAGGAAGTCCTGTCACAGCGCTCTCCTCGAAGTCCGTAATGCCAACAAGCATTAACGGCCCAGAACCACTGTCGCAAACATCGAGTCCGCCGAAATTCCCAACAGAGATCCATCTACCCTTGGTCGTACAGAGGACGAAACTTGCAGGTACCTTACTCTTGAGACGTGGACTTACAACAATACCGGGTGCGCGGAACTGTAGACCGTTATGCGTTCTCTCAGCGCTCCTGTTCCAAATGACGTTTTTGGAGCTCGCCATAGTCGGGGCCTGCCATTGGAGTAGAGATTTTGGAGCCCACTGAAATCCTGGTTGAGATAGCTTCTCACGGTTCTCGAATATGAGCAGTAGGGGGAGTTTTGAAATCAATTTCCAAAAAGCCATCATTCTGCCTGTCTGGTCAGATGCCGGAATCTGCCATATTGTTGAACTGTTGATGCGAAGCAAATTTGCCAAACACAAGGGTTCATCCGAATGCACACTTGTAGACCGGAAGCGTACGGCGTTGGCCAAGGTCTTCAATGCATCCGTTTGATCTGAACATTGTACTGGAACACGAAGCTCTTCGACTTGGTGGATGATCGTTCGTTGCATTGTCAGTCGTACAGCTGGGTCCTGACTCGCCATGAGTCTGGAAACTCCCAGGTCTACGTCATACGGACCGTCCGCGAATTGAAAGAAAAGCTTCCGGGCCAGCGCGCCTTCTTGAAGAGTCCACAGCCGACCCATCCATTTGCTACATACGATCCGCAGTAAAATCTCAACATCGCTTAGGGTCTTCGCCGTATGTACTACGAGCGAAGCATCCAGCACTAGCACGGCCGAGGCATTCTCATACGTGGTCTTCATCCTGGCTATAGCCATCTTTTGTGCCTCTGATCCATCTTCAACCGGACAGCAAATAGTGTCTAGCCAAAAGCAGGAATATGGACCTAAATCTGGTGGTTGAGGAACGTTGCGTACCAACCGGCGCAAGTTGCTGAGCTGACAGCTAGGAATCGAGTTCTCGCGAGGATTACCCAATCCGTCGGACCAAACGTGCGATATGGCTACGTATGGGATGGGTGAAGTTCGACTACGACTGTCGACAGAACTTAAGCAAAGCTTGTCTCCAGGCATAATCGGAGCAAACAAGTCAACGACCGGGTAAGAGTCGCTCTCTAGAATTAAGCTCATTCTCTTGAAATCTGCAGCAACTGAAGGGCAGCCACTGCAATCAGTAGCATGCCTGGTAGAATAGGTAGCTTCATCCACTCTTGCATGACAGCAGGTCGTGGTTGTGCAATTGTGATGGTTAAGATCATCGGGGCGTGGGAGATTCGCGACATGAACCATGGCCGTCAACGTCAACTTTGTCGTATACTCTTGTATGCGGGATAGACACCAATTTTGGTCTAGCATTCGTTGCTTGTAAACGCCACCGTTGCAAGCGAGAGCTAATGACGAACCCTCATCACCAGGATTGTTCAGATCCAATTGGCGCCATTTCTGAAGCGAGAAAGGAGACGAATAATTCATACAGACAACGAAAACGAAGTCTCGAAGCAGGCGAATTGAGTCAAGTATCTCAAGCGGAAGTGGATCATGAAACTCGAACGTGGACATGAACGTGTAAAGCGATATAACTTCCACTTCTAAGCGTCGATCTTCCCTTTCGTTCATGGGAATATTCAGCGATACATTCCTGTCGGGGTCCCAATCTAGTTCGTCAAACACTTCGGGAAAGGGCCGCATCGACGGTACCACACCTTCGTCTTCGAGTTCGTAACCTTCTGGAGTGCTTCCGATGTGTTCTTCAGTCAGTGCAATCAGACTGGAGGTGTCAACCACCCTTCTCCCATCTGTGGTGACCTTCGTAAGATTCGCCAGGGTTGCGAACCTTAGTACCGTACTGATGTACCCAAAGTATTGCCAGAGCTGCAAGAAAGCGACGAACTCTGCCGAGGGGTCTTCGAATAACTTATTCCATTCTAGAGCAGTCCTATCACCGTAACCTTGTCGCGCGGGAAACGTTTCGAGATCCCCCCCGTCGTACTCTTGATTAGTCAGGCAAGGTACTTCTATGTAGCCAATCGTCGGGTTCTGGAGTAAGGGTATGTGCTGCATGGTGTTGTTGGTAACTCAGCCGTTGCGGTTGCCCTTCAGATGGAATTGAACGTGCAGCATGATATACACTGCTACCTTGTTTGGCTGACATTGAGCAAGCAGCTTGGCAGCACCTGCACGAGATGCGCACAGGCACCTGATAGCGACACCATCACAACGAACAAAGGAAATACACAAAGCTTGCGATGCGAAAAGGAGCAGCAATACTCAAAACTGATACGTAGTCGGCGCATATTGCGCTTACCAGTGGGCGCCTTCGGGTGTGCGCTATGAATATTGTAAGTAGTTGTTCTTAGGACCAGCACGTATACATCAGAGACATGTCATGTAAACAGATCATATTTGTGACTACGAGCGAGAGAGCCACAACAACCGAACACAAGAGAGCAGAACATCAGAACACGCAAACAGCCCCTAGAGCACAGTCCACAGTAGATCATCGACTCCCTCATCTCTATTCTTCTGACAGGCCACCACCGCACAGAACATATGCTTACTCGCATTCACACTAATCACCTCAAACATCCCACTCTCCAGCACTTTTCCAAAGTCGACCAGAATGCGCCCAATCGGTCCCCGCGAACTCTTACGCATCGATCTAAAATCGCTACGAATATCCATGTTCTCCCAGATGATATCGACGTCGAAGTCCTCATGCGGAGTGGTATCTGGCGGAGGCGATTCTAACCTAGGGGCAGTGGGGGCATTGGGGGTAGTAGACCCTGTAATTACTGTTAGAGTTATGTTTACAGAGGTCGAAAAGATAAGACAACGAGTGGCTCTGATGGGTAGCAGCAGTGGGCGTGTGGAGGATTGGGAGCGCATACTCGGTGCACCTGCAGTATTCTCTACACTCTGCATTCTGGCAGTCGTACACTCTTTTGCTAGTGCAGCGACAGCCAGCCGAACCTCCTTCGTAGCAGCGTGGTAGGGTGTTACCTCCGCTGCGGCAAGTGACTTCGTATTTGACAAGCGCTTCAAAGGTTCCGTTATCCGCGCTCTTCTTCTCTGGAGGGGTAGGCGTGGCAGTGATGATTGTGAGAAGAGTTGCTAAGGCAGTCAGGTTGGGGAGGAGCATGCTGTTGCCTACACTATAGCCGGACGAATGAGGAGCTGCAGACAAAAAGCACGGGATGATGGCTACAATATCGAGAGAACCAGCAGGCTCCTTTTATATTCGAAGCATGCCTCACAAGCAGAGATGTTGCGGCACAAAACACCGACCTTCTGCTCCCTTGGATAGAAGCTAACCCTCCCTCCCCGTGTAGCGGAAAACCCGGTCGGCCGGAACTAGCCAATAAGAGAACAAGGTCAGTAAGGATTCCCGCGAGATGCTGTATCTGATATCAGGTCTTTTCGGCCTACTAGGGTCTCCGTCACACAGGTAGGGCAGTTGCGTTGGTCGTCACCAGAGATGCCCACAAGTGTTTTAATTGACTTCATTGATTCAGGATTCAAAAGCTTAAATAGGTCAAGCTTAATCCAACCACAGTGCAACAATCTCAGGGATGCGCAGTGCTGAACTACGCCGCAATATAGAGAAGATAAGAAGCTGCTGCGGACACTGCTGCCAGAACTCAACCCGCTCCACGAGCGAATGATGCTGCAGATAGCGGCTCAAGATGCCGAGAATACAGGGCACTGTAAAAGCATTTCGGTCGATCACGCTTGCCTTCCGGCCACTGCAGCTGAAAGAGCTCGCCGCAATTGCAGGCCTTCCCAGAGATCAGTTCGGCGACATGCAAGCAGTCGTCGACCTTGTTAGCCGCTGTGACTCGTTTCTAACTGTGCGCAAAGGCATAAACAAGCTATCATATATCAAAACATGTGATAGGAGCATTGGTGTTGGTATTGTAGTTCTAGAGACAGTGGGGAGAGCGTCTCATCATGAGGCAGGTACGACGGGACGCACCAAGCCAATCACACCTGCCACGCTCAAGCATCTACCTACAACAACCACGAAATCGGATGCACCTTCGCATCTCGTACCCTACAGCTCAGATGAAGCAGGAAACATGCCTCTTACTGTATTTGCTGCCCAGCATTGGCGTTCGCATGCGCTAGTTGCATACGCTTCTTCCACGATCCCAATATCTTGGGATCACGTGTCGCCTTGAAGTCCTCCTTGAACTTCTCATACGTCGGTAGCCAAAGCTTGTTGTGCTGCGTCGGGAAGAAAGACCACGCGACCATGTTCTGCTCCTCCGCTTTGGTCATCTCAAGACATACATACTGGCTAGCGTTGCTACCAGCGCTCCCGTCGTGGCTCTGGGTAATGGACAGACGGTTACCAATGCAGGTTTCATCACTGTTCGACCCTTCCGAAAACCAGCCCTGTATCATCGCGACAGACGAGACCAGTGTGATTGTGATTATCAGGAGTTGGACGGCAAGGCAGGCCATGCCTAGCGTGACAGCGTGGACACCGAAAGCTAGCCAGCAGATAGCACGGCTTACCAGGTGGAGTTTCTCGGAGGCTGGGCGAGCTTCGGTGAGCAGAACATCTTGCGCGATGCCAGTCGTGGTAATGACAGTCAGCCGATTACCGTTTGGCATGGTGATGAAGAGCTTGACTTCACCCTTCTTTGTCGCCTGATTGTCCAACTGCTTGATAGCTTCGTCGATGCTACCGCGGAAGTCGAAGAGAATGCAGACTCGAACAAAAACCAGAGCAACGAGACTGAGAGAAGCAGCGAGACCATACCAGTCTTGTATTAGCATCGGCCCGATAACCAAGAAAGTGTTCACTAAGAAAGCTAACCAAAACCCAATCCACTGCTCAGTCTGAGGTCTAGGAACACGATGATCAGATTGAATCTCAAGCCGCGTAGAGTTGTACGACAGCTTCTGACACGACAGCCAGCGTGTAAACCAAGCGCTTAGATCGGTTGCCTTAATGCCTTCGGTGATGTTGTATAGTTCAAAGCCTGGAATCGGTTCCATGACTGAGTTATCGGCGAAGATGTGACCAGCGAGGAGAGGAAAATACTCGAAAGGTGAGTAGACGAGGCGGCCAAGGGACTTGCGGACCGCGTCGGCGCCCAGGAGCGTTACGATACCGAGCGCGTCGATCTTGAAGGGACTCCAGTTCTTGATGTTGACTGGTTGCGTCATGATGAGACGCGAGATGAGAAGTGGGACGGCGGCGGTAAAGACGGCGGCGGTAGATGCGGTACTGCAGTAATGAGTATATATTTCGAGCGCCAGAGGGGTTTATACGTACAGTGTATTCATCGTTATTTGCTCTAGCGGGTTGAGCAAATACGAGTGTGGTTGAGATGGAGAATGGAAACCGCGGTGAGTTTCTGGAGCTTTATGGAAGGGGGGAGACTAGAAAAGGGTGCTCTTGGGCTATGGACCTGAAGGGGCTGTGCAAAGCAAACGAATGCTCACGGGTGGGATTTCACTACAGCCCCGTGGTCGTCTAAGCACAGCCCGATACATTCATCGAAGAGAGCGGGATCGATTGATCCTACCACACACATGTCTTATTGCAACCACCTTTACCGTGACACTTTCACAAGTCCCCTGTTTCCTCCATATGCGGCTCTTTCTTCCTCAACATCCAGCCCTCAATCTTGACAGGACCATCTTCGCGGTTCCCACTCTCTCGTAACGAAGAATGTGAGAAGTAAGCATGCGCTCGGTCGTCATCTGCCCGTGAGTATCGTCAAGACGTACAGAGGGGAGACATTTGGGCGGCGAGATGGCGATGGGATGTGGTAGATGAATTTTACTATATTCGCGCAAACGAAACTGCGCCCAACAGCGAGATGAGTTATCCTAGTCAGGAGATATCGTATCCACTAGAACATCTCCATGGTAACAAGCAGACGTGAACGCCCGTCTTTCACACGTACTATGCTGTGCCAAAGCGACTCCGTTCTCTTGTGACCCAACCTCAGATAATGCGCCCGACCTTTGAAGCAGGAACATGGTGAAGAAAGGGCGTCTTGCGTCGCAAAAACCAAAGTTGTGTAGGAAGTAACGCGTTTTCCGGGATGACTGCGGTCGCACCGTGTCGTCCTCTGGCCAACGTTCGTCGACGCTGTACGCGTAGCTGTGTACAATATTGAGTAATGGCAACTGGATGATCGATCGCTAAATCGCTTTGAAACTGAGGTTTGTAGTGCTGGCTACGGCGCGACTGATCGTGACGCGTCCAACGCAAAGTGGGTCTGCTTAGTCATCATGCGCCTTCAGCACGCAGCCACCAGGCGCACGCGTCGCAGCATCACCTCACTGTAAGATGTGTAAGGAAGGTACGTACGGTGTTGCTATGGAAAGTCTATCCCGCGACGAGAGAAAGCGCATTCGAAATCGCACGCCTGAACTGCTAAAAAACCCTACTGGAAGCATGCTTTCCGGCAATGGAAGACCTCCGCCTGCAAACCCTTGTCACAGTTTCTGACACCAGCGGCATGCAAATCAGTTGTTTGAAGGATAACGGTAGTCAACGACCGGGAAAAACTCCTCCTTGATCTGCCGTGGAGAAACGAAGCGAAACATTGGGTTCGAAGAGCCTGCCTTATCGTTGGTTCCACTTGCGCGACTTCCGCCGAAGCTCTGCTGGCCGATGAGCGCGGCGGTGGTCTTGCAGTCTGATGGCTCGTTAGCTTCCGCGCTGATCGCCATTCCGGTAAGACTCACTGATGTAGAAGTTGCCCGCAGAATAGCGGAGCGCGTCTTCTGCCTCACGTATAGCGGTACGGGAGTTGGCGAAAACAGCACCTGTGAGCGCGAAATTACCACCAGCTTGATCAACCTTCTCTAAAATGTGGTTCCACTCCGCATCAGGGTAGACGTATATTGCGAGTACAGGACCGAAGATCTCATAGTTGAAGAGCTTGTGGTCTGGCGAGTCTGCGAGATAGACGGTTGGCTTGATGTAAAAGCCTTCAGAGTCATCATAGGTACCGCCAACCAGGAGTTTGAGCGAAGAATCCTGATTGCTTTCGTCGATGACAGTCTTGATCTTTTCGAATGAATGACGGTGAATGACTGGGCCCATGAAGGTGGCGAGATCTTCGTGTGGATTACCCTGAGTAATACCCTTCACATCATCGACCAACGTGTCGATGAACTCCTTCGATCGAGACTCTGGAAGGTACACGCGAGACGTTGCCGAACACTTTTGACCCTGGTACTCGAACGAAGCGCGAACGACGTGCTTCACCGCAGATTGGACATCCGCCGTTGGATGAAGGAGAGTGAAGTTCTTGCCACTTGTCTCTCCTACCATTCGTGGAAATTCGCGATACGTGTTGTTCCCAATACCCTGACCGATACGAGCACAGAGAGACCTAAAGACGTCTGAGGAACCTACGAAGTTAAGCCCTGCGAAGTCTCGGTGGTTAAGCACGACATCGTTGATCTCTTCGGGCTCTCCGGGCACGAACTGAATGACATCAGGTGGCAGACCAGCTTCAAGCAAAACTTTGTACACGAGGGTGCTCGCGTAGATATTCGAAGGCGACGGCTTCCAGAGTACCACATTTCCCATGATGGCAGGGCCCGAGATCAGGTTACCGCCGATAGCTGTAAAGTTGAACGGCGAGACAGCGTAGACGAACCCTTCCACTGGGCGGTAGTCCATGCGGGACCACATCCCGTCTGTACCTCGCTCGGGTTGTTTTCCCATGATCTCCGCCGCGTAGTTACAGTTCAGCCGGAAGAAGTCCGCCAGCTCAGCAGCGGCATCTACTTCGCCTTGCCAAATGTTCTTCCCTTGGCCAAGCATGGTTGCCGCAATGAGCTCATACCGGTACTTGGTCGCTACTAGCTCCGCGGCTTTGAGAAAGATTGCCGCTCGATCAACAAAAGCCGTATTCTCCCATGACTTCTTAGCTTTGAGGGCCGACTCGATGGCTATTGAGACCTGCTCTTTGCTTGCGAGTGGGTAATTGGTGAAGGTAGTCTGGTGGTCCGCGGGCAATGGCTGATCCCAAGATCTAGAAACTTGTTGCGATTTGCCATTGAAGTGAATCTCGCTTTGAAGGGGAATCTGCGACTTCATGCGCTTTAGGGTCACCTCCAGCTGGGTGCGCTCCGGAGAGCCTCTCTCGTAAGTCGGATTTGGCTCGTTGCGTGCATCAGGTAGCCGGAATGGTACTGTGGCTTTTGTACGTAGCTGGCATTGGGGGCGGCGGAATCTCGATACATTGGTCAGAGGCCGCCTTGTGTTCTCAGAGAGCCGTGCGAGGCTTCGGGTGGTCGACATGGTGGGGCAGAGAGAGGTATGATGAGCACTCTGTCGTGGATCTACCTTCTATACCTGCCTCTCCACGATAGTACTTCGCAACGGCAATGCATTCCGACGACACACACTATGCCTAGCGATATCGCTGTGACTCTCATGCCCGCGAATACCCGTTTGCGACAAACAGCACGGCGACTTGTGGTTGGCTGATAAGCTCACAATGCCATGCCATCGCTGCGCAAATTGATCGGGAGGCCTCCCGACATATGGTCGCGTAAGTGGCATTGCGGCCAGGGCACTGAACCGGACAAGACCTTCACACCCAGATAACATCGCCTCTCCATTCTCAACCATAAATCCTTTCCCAACGGTGCTAAGAGCTCCGATGGGTCAATCTGTAAAGCGGTGGTTGGGACGCTCGATGAAGAACGCTTGTGTGTGAGGGACGGAAGCGCACCCGACGCACGGCTCAGTGTGCGAGGCGCTAACCCAGCCGCTTAGATTGATCATCCAGGGGAACGCGTAGGGCGTCGTTACGTCGACGCGTCATTTCAGAGTCGCGGCCACATCACAGACTACGTTGCGATTGCGGAAGGTATGCGTGAGAAAACTCAACTCTGGTGAGGACCAGAGATGCCCACTCACACACACGATGGCAGGTGCCAAGCGATGACATCAGCTCCCTATCAGTCCCCGCATTAGTGCCCAGGTGGTATCTAGCCGGAATCGGCCGTCGATGTCTCTGGCTCATGACTGCAGAGCTTCTGCATGCGAGCTTACAAGCGTTACTTCCGCGTCGTTACCGACAACCTCGTTAAACTGCCCAGGTGTCCATCCGATTTGTGAATAGCCTCGGCAAGCACGATGGCATCCTCCAACGACCACCGAAGAGTGACTAAACGATCATCAAACGCGTACGCAGCTTGCGTGGTGCCGATGTGGTGCACTATTGACAACTACGGGCAGTTGTTCGCGATGCAGGAGGCAGAAGATCAAATGCTCGGGACAGCAGCCGTGCTCCAATTGTGGCAGACGAAGCCTTACCTGCATCTTCGATGATAGAGAGAACAAGATCCTAGTGACTCAAGGGTAGCTTAGGAGCACTACTATCTGGATGAACAAATACTTATGCTGCTCAGATATCTCTCAGATCTCCAGGCGAAGATAGCCCGGTTGGAGCAGAATCCAACATACGAGCCGGGTGCATCACAAGCACGAACGACGGCTAACAATAGGACGGCCCAGGCCAGGGATGGAAGCTCACCAGCAGTGGATGACGATCGTCCACCGGCGAACCCATCGAGCTTTGAGGGGACGAGGGATAATTCACCCATACCTAGACCTGACCCAGATGAAGCAAATCTGATGAACCCGCTTATTGAGTCCTCCAAGTTTATGTCTTCATCCTCTGGGCGGCCATGTAAGCTCATGGTATACGCTTAATGAATCACAACTAAGAGCTTTCGTAGTTTATCTAGGCACGTCTTCGAACTGGTCTTTCCACGGACAAATCCTCAATTTGGTGCATGAGCACATCCGAAAGTCACCGCTACCTAGCACCGAACTGCTATTTGATGGCTCGGCATACGAACATCTCTGGAATGGCACACGCAGCCTTCCAGACTCCAACTCTCCGATCATACCTAGTATCGATTACGCCATCTTTCTGTTCAATGCTGTGAAGTTTCACTGCGCCCAGCTTGTCCATCTCTTTGACGAAGACGAGTTTATGACAAACTTGCATGCCTTTTACTCGAATAATGAGAGAGATACATGGAAAGACAGCTTGTGGTACATACATTTCCTTCTCATCCTAGCTTTTGGAAAGACCTTCATCCAAGGGAAGAGTCAGACGCCGCGGCCGCCAGGCGCCGACTTCTTTACCTACGCTGTTCAACTTCTGCCTGATACCAGTCGTCTTTGCCGCGAACCCTTAATGGCAGTCGAAATACTTTGCTGCATAGCGCTATTTATGCAAGCCTTGGACTCACGAAATGCAGCACATGTAACAGTACGGCGTCAGTGATATCTTGTCGACATTGACTGACATTGCTAGATTGGTCAAGCCATGCGCATATCGATGATTGAAGGAATGCATACCGATATGCCTGTGGAAAATCTAGGCCAGCCTCTTGTTCAGCGATGCCGTAAGATCTGGTGGACGGTTTATATCCTCGATCGCCAAATGACATCTTTGATGGGACTACCTCAGTCGATTCGAGATGAGGATATAACTTGCCAGCTTCCAGACTTTGAGGGCTCAGCTCGAAGAGTGACAGCCCTCGACATGCAGATCAAGCTTGCACGTATCTATGCAGAAATAGCTAGGAGTGTGTGGGTCGACATCCATCTCATATACGCGATTGCTGACCAAACTCCTAGCTGTATATGGTTCTAAAGGCCGGCTACGCAAGAAGTTTGTCTTAAGCATCAAAGCCGTTTTAGATGATCTTACGTCCTTAGCGGAAGAACTCAGACGTTCATTCCCGCTGCATGCGGACGAGCGCTTTGACGGAATCTCGAGGATGCCGGCTTATCTACATCTACTCTACTATCAAGTAAGATACACATCTCTCGCGATACCTAACAATTCTAACGAACTACTAGACAATCGTTGTTGTGACGAGGCCGTTGCTCTTCTGTTGTATGAAGAAGGTCTTTGGGTCACCAAGAGAGGTGCAACCGCTAGTCTCCTCACGCAAGATACGCCATCTACTGTGCATGTCACTTGAATCTTCTCAGAAGATCATCGATATTCTAGAAATTCTACACGATCAAGGATTACTAGGTATAGTGCTCAGCCATTCCGCCATGCCGTGGACTGACCATGATACAGAGACCTTCCTCCCCTGGGATCTTGATGCACTCTTCGTATCAACTGTGGTCCTGATTTTGACGCGCTTTATCGATCATAGTCTAATGGACGGCCAAAAGCCATATCTGGACAAAGCTTACAGCTTTTTCAAGACCATTGTGTCTAGCGGTAATCGCATCGCAGGGTTTCGCCACGTGGAGCTCCGCAAGCTTGATGAGATGTTGGCGGAGTACTCCGAGAACAGGGAGCGACCATCAACATTACCTAACACTATCGGCCTGGAACCAAGCATACAACGCCCATCCTCATTCCCTCTAGGCTATCAATCTGTAGCCGGTCTGCCGCACTCACAAGACACGGTGCGGCCATCATCTTATACAGGAATCAGTGATGAAGGGAGTGGTTTTGGTGATGATTTGACCGCCGAGCAGATATTGGCTGTAGCAGAGTCTATGGACATGGAAGGGACCGACTGGCTTTCTTTTGCAACGTTGGACGACTACCAGATCATTGATCCGAACATCTAATGACTAACATCACCACCATACGAACCACGCGCAACGACCACGACGAGTTTCACGGGAGGCGCACATAAGCCGAGATTTCTACATCTTTGGCTTTACCGCTCCCTGTTCTTGCACATCGCGAATCTCTCTAACAGTTCCTATCCGCCAGCTCACATCATGGTCAAAGCTCTCTCCCTTGGCCTTCTGCTTTGGCACTCTCCAACGCCACCTCAGAATACTCTGCTTTCCGTCGGGTGCGTTCAGCAGATTATCCACCCACCTTCCGACGATCGGGAACATCTTGAAACCATGACCGGAGTCACCCGACAGTATCATAACAGAAGAGGAAGTGTTCGGCACGTAGTCGAAGATGAAGTCCGAGTCTGCTGTGTCTGCAAACCAGCATATAAACTTTTCTACCAGAGGTCGATCGGCGAGGTAGGGCAGTGTTTGGCGGAGAAGTTCGCGCATCTGTTCTTCATCCTCTTTCGGCACGAAGCGCATAAGCTCTTGCGGTGCTTCAGAAATCCCGGTGCTTGGATTAGTGTTGATGTAACCACCTCCCATCGGGCAAATCTTGAGGAGATTCGTCTTTGGGTCTGGCTCGAAGAAGAAACCGAGGTCGCGGGCGTATGTTACTGGGATACCGCGAAGTGCTGCCGTCTCGTCATCGGTAAGGCGGACGTGTGCAACTGACCACGATTTCGCGGACACTTCGGTACCGATCTCAGGGACAATCTTGTGAGCTGCGGCACCAACGGCGACGACGACTAACTTAGCGGCATGGAATTGCGCGGCCTTAGTTCGTACACCGATGCTCTTTCTGCTTTTGTCCAATCCCTCATATACGATCTTCTCTATCGCACCGACTTTCTCACCCAAGAAGAATCTAACGCCATTCTTCCTGGCCTCGCGATAAATCCCTCTCAGCGCATTAGCTGAGTGCACATAGCCGTCGTACTTGGACACGTATCCCTTCCAGCCGGGCATGTCACCGGTGAACTGCCAAGCTCCAGCTACATCACGTACGTCTTGAGGGCCCGAGATATGATGAAAGAAAGGCTTCATCTCCGGGTGCTTCTCGGCAGCCGCCTGGAACCGGTGTAGCGTTCCCACTGCTTTTTGGGATGCAGCTCCAGAAACAACATTAAGATAGCCGACTCGGTGGAAGTAAGGCGCGTAGAGGGGCGTTTGCCAGGCGTGGGTAGCTTCCTTTTGGTATGTCAGTCATTGCTCGAACGATCAGTGCTGCATAGCATTGCTCGGGGTGCAGACAGCTACATACCACGGCCAGATCTGTATAGAAATCGTCTTCGTATTCCGCTCGCATGATCTTGTTCAGGTCGTTGCCAGCAGACCATCGGGATGGAATCTCGTCATCTTTCTCGAAGACCGTGATGTTGGTGTAGCCTTTCCTGGAGAGCTCAAGAGCCGTGGAGAGACCGAACGCGCCTCCCCCAATGATAGCTATAGCGTCGCTTTTAGAAACATTCATGGTGATAAAGCCGGGAAAGATGTGAAGTACGAATGCAAGGACAAACACCTTGGGGCGTCACAGTATGTCATGACACCCTGGAAGTACAGGTGCAGTCGTGCGACGGGAGTGTCCAGTCCATACATGACACGACGCCATCGATCAAAGTCTCACCAGACTGTCGATACGGGACCATGTCCGCTGTCGCATGCATTGTCGAGCCCCGCAGATGTTGCAAGCGTTATCGTCGTGTTGTGATGCTTGCTCCTGACTTGCCCAATGCACGCTAGTGTTATCGATAAGGTCGTCCCCATAGAATGTCTGACGCTGTTTGGTCCGTGTCTTCCCCCTTCCTGCAAGGTCGGATGGCCTCCCGACACTTCGAAGGCGAGACTGGTATTACCCAACCGTATTTCATGCCCTCTTCTGGCATGGATGATAAGTCGACTCGCTGGCATTATGACGACCGAGCATATCCGTGATGCCTGTGACCGAAGTCGCGCGGTCAGCGACAGGTCCCAGATGGACAGCCTCCAGCAAGTCCTTCTTCGTACATTGGATATTATCTTCTAACCGCATGCCAGAAATGTAGTCAAAAGAGCACTCTTAGACAGGATGTTCTTGCTATATATGTCTGGGACATAGTTCTTGAACTCATTCCGACAGCGACCGCTGTTCATCGCAACGAAGCTGTGTCCTACATATGGAAGCTCTATGCACACCATATACGGCCAACGATAAGCTTGATAAGAAAGTTGCTACATGAATGCATAGTATGATCGAGCACTTGCCAGCCTCGTTCCTCTTCTGTCAAGACGCTTCGCCAACATACTTTCCCAACTAGGTGGAAGACGTGCGCTTTGTTCCGACATATTTTCTCAACGCTGCAACGAGATCATGTATCGAGACGATTCATACCTCCTTGCGCTATACGGGCGGAGTATACGAGTGTTCACAAACGTAATACTCAAAAGGTAGCTTCGCTCTTATATTACGCCGACATCGTCATGCATAACCCGATCCAAGCCGCATCGACAATCAACCCCGCATTGGCCTACTTCCAGAGGGATGTCGCGTTCGGTCATAATTACCATTGGTCTCGTTCTGCTTATCACTTCGCCTCTTGCATTATACTATTGGTAGTGCCGACCACATCCGGACTTTCCACGCGATTCGGCTGCACGTCCGAGCTATGGACCTGGACGCGATAGTCACGAGCATGGCGATGCCCCACGTTCGAGACGTGGAGCGGGGTCGTGCATCATATGGTAGGATTTCGGTTTGAGATAAGGGAGGCGATGAAGAGGTAGAGTTGTAGGAGCACTCTACATATCAGCTTCAATCGTCTATCTTGAAACACTCTTCCATCTTTGGCTGGCTTCCTTAGTCTCGCCACCTCACATTGGATTCATGATGCTTCATCAACGGCTTACTAGATCAACTCTGCGAGCAGTAGCGAGCAGGAAATGTCTCATCAATGGCTTCAACACGTTCGAGACACGTCTCAGCTCTACAACTGCACTGCCACGGATGAAGGCTTCGGCTACACAAATATCAAAACCGTCACCCACACAATACCCGCTATCAGCAATGCCGACGCACATGTTGCTCCGTTCGCTCTTCGTCGCCACAATATCGTCTAACAAGTTCCTTCTGATACCATCACTCAACCTGCTCTCCTTCTTCTCGAAACCGAATCGAAGCCTGTTGTTCAATATAGATCGAAACCCTGTATTGAAGGCTATTTTGAAGAGAACCCTATATAATCAGTTTTGCGCCGGAGAAACACAACAAGAGACGCGAGCTTGTGTAAAGCAGCTGAAGGATTTGGGATTCAAAGGGGTGATCTTGACGTATGCGAAGGAGATGGTGTTTGATCACAAAACCAAGTCTGCAAACCATCATACCTCGGATAGCTTTGTCGATGAAAAGACTAGTATAGCGCATGATGCAGACGTCGAGGCATGGAGGGTAGGCACACTAGGAACACTTGATCTCATCTCCGAGGGAGACATCTTAGCTCTGAAGTAGGTATAATTACGATGACTTACTGAATGTATCACTGACATCTTCTAGAACGACAGGCGGTGGTCCAGCCGTCTCATCAGCATTCAGTAAAGGCGAGCTTCCATCCCAGCAGATGCTTGACGCCCTGGATGAGATAGCGACCCAATGTAAAGCACGCAATGTCCAGATTATCATCGACGCTGAGTCTCAGCACTGGCAAGCGGGCATCGCTCGCACGACACTCGAACTAATGCGCAAGTTCAACCGCAATGGTAAAGCTGTCATCTACAACACATATCAAGCCTACCTCAAAAACACTCCCACAGTTCTCGCACACCATATGGCCGAGGCAGAAATACACGGGTTTACTCTTGGTCTCAAGCTCGTGCGTGGTGCATACATCCTCTCCGACAACCGCTCCTTGATCCATGACACCAAAGAAGATACAGATAATGCCTACAATACGATAGCACAGGGTGCGCTTCGTCAGCAGATCGGCAGCTTTGGGGCATCTGGACCATCTGCCCGCCGGTTCCCTTCTGTGAACCTCTTCCTCGCTTCTCACAACCGCGAAAGCGTGCTCTCGGCCCACAAGCTCCACCGACAGCGCTCGGAAGCCGGTCTGCCTACTGTTCCCGTCGCTTACGGACAGCTTCACGGCATGTCAGATGAAGTCAGCTTTTCCTTGTTAGCGGAGAAGGGGGCAGGTGGCAAGAAGCCTGAGGTGTTGAAATGCACTACTTGGGGTAGTATGGGCGAGTGTGTAGGGTATTTGCTTCGGAGGGCAGTAGAGAATCGTGATGCCGTATTAAGGACTAAGGATGAGTTTACGGCGTTGAAGAGAGAAGTTAGGAGGAGGTTCTTCTGGGCGTGATAGAGGGTTGCGAGGCTACGCGTAGGAAGTGAAGAGTGGTCAAGTTGTATGAGAGTAGCGGGGCTTGTACGATGCATGATCGCAGGATGCGCATGAAGTATCCGTCATGTTCTAGGTGTCGTAGTCATAGTCATAGTCAAATACAACGACTGCTTTGTTGTGAATAAGCGGCTACTGTCGGTGTCTGCGTGTTATTTTTGTCAAGGGTCCATTAGGATGCAGAAGAGATGTAGGCACGCATGTGGGTCTCCGTAGTGGCTTTCCCCGCTGACAACTGCGCGGAAAAGAGTGGGGGCCGGCTTCCTTCCCGAAACCATCAAACGAAGCCATCAGATCCAATGCGCAGAGTAGAGATATCACTAGTCAAGTACGCTGAAGAGTTTGAAGCTCTTTTGAAAAGGTCAGGGTATTAAAATCCGGAGTCGTACAACAGAGTTACGACAAACAACGTTTCCCAAGCCACAGGCAACAACACTTTCGCAAGCGACAATGTCAGACAAAACACTATGCATGCTGGGATGCGGTAAGTGCCCCCCCACGAAGAACAATGACATGTCTCGAACAAGACCTCTGAACCACCATCGATCAGGCAATCTCGGCACCTCCATCCTCCAAAGCCTCTTGAACGCCCCTCCAGACTCCTTCTGCGGCATCACCCAATTCATCGCTTGCGTGTCAAGCGAATCCTCCGAAAGACGCCTCAAATCCGTTTTCCCGCGGTACGAAAACGTGCAAATCGCGCGAGACGACAACGTATCCGCCGTCAAGAGCTCGCACGTGATCATCCTGGGCGTCGACCCGTCCCAAGTAGAAGCCACATTAAGCGATATCGCGATTATAGAGGCATTACGGGGGAAACTGCTCATCAGCATAGTAGCAGGCTGGACGCGCGATGCAATTGAAAGACTCATTGATGCGGAGTGGGAGGTTTGGGAGGGTATTCGGGATCAAGATACGAGAGGAGCTTGGGTTCTACGTACACTACCGAATGTGGCGGCGCTTGTCTCGCAGTCTTTGACTGCTATTGAAGATCATCCTTCACCCACCTTCCCACCTCATTTCAAAGATATAGCAACAGCTGTCTTCACGCAAATCGGCAAACCCATGTCCATACCAGCCGCCCTCATGCCCGCCACAACAGCCGTCTCAGGTTCCACACCCGCATTCTGGGCCATCATCGTCGACAGCCTCATCGACGCTGCCGTTGCTGTTGGGTTACCCCGCAAAGTAGCTCAGGAGCAGATCTACCAGAGTATGAGGGGCAGTGCGGAGATGCTTCAGAGTGGGATACAGCCGGGCGAGCTGAGGGATATGGGAACGAGTCCGGAGGGGTGTACGATTGCGGGGGTTATGGTGCTGGAGGAAGGTGGAGTGAGGGGTGTGTTGGGGAAGGCGTTGAGGGAAAGCGTTACGGTTGCTAGGGCTATGGGGAAAGCTGGGGAGAAGGGTGGGGAGGAGGTGCACGTTAATGATACTAGGAAGATCTGGTGAGGGTCATCCAATTTCAAGTTGAGGCATATGATACAAAGGCCTACAGTACAGTCAGCATAGACACTCAAAGCATGAGAAAGCAAACCACACCACCACATCACATATACACAAACAGCGAGGGAAGGTTTAGAATCATCAACATCTGCTTACTACTCACTACCTACTCACTGGATATAAACCATACCACAGCACGTCAACCGTCGCCGTAGCGTAAACGTACATCCATCCCGACTAAAGGGGCGCATGTGCGTGCGAACACAAACTACGCCTGATCCTGTTGAACCCATGCTAATGCACCTGCCTGTGATCAAGGTATTTCCCCCACCTTTCGCTCAAACCGAGCTGTCCTTGAAAAGATATAAACGCCAGTTGGTAGTAAGGTTGAAAACGCCAAAAGTAACCCAAATAGGTATACTGGAGCTAAGTAGCAAATGAGATCTGTTGTGACGCCCAAAGGAGAATACACACGTGGTAGGTTCGGAGGTGGTGAAGGAAAATATACACGGTAATGTAGAGTGTGACTGTGTGTGTGAAATACGAACAGTGAATAGTTGCGTTGATACTTCCTTCTCTTTCTTTGTTCTTTAGCCTTCTTTGGGCTTTCAATACTGTGATGACGATTTTGTCATGTTTAGAGGATGCCAGCCCACATGCCTGGGCCTTGTGGGCGGTAGGCTTGCGCGACCTCGGTGCTGCAGCACGACCTCTTCTTGCCAAAGTCTTTCTGGATAGGAAGACGAGAGCAGTAAGGAACAGTGTTCTTAGGAGACTGCAGCCCCTTTGGTTCACTGCGCGAGAGGGCGAATGAGTGCGACACTGATCTATCAGGGAGCACAGGCTTCTGACCGCGGAGGTCGAATGCGGAGCGAGTGCTGTGAAGCAAATGGCGCACATTCTGCTGGAGATCGACCGAAGACCTTCCACGCTTGCGGCTTGCAGGAGTGACGCACGCAGGGCTGTCGACCTTGCCTGGCGACGAATCCGAATCATCAATGTGGAAGCTATCCAGATCGGGAGAGGACATGGGCTCACTTGGAGCATACTCGTACTGCTCCTTGCATTTCGACAAAACCGGGTACGGGAGCTTCGCGCTGCGGCAGGTCGCCAACCGAGCCAAGCTGGCCTGGCTTTGGTTTGGCGCCCAGCCGGCAGACGAGACCGACGAGATTGATGAAGCACGAGAAGCGCGCGAGTTGTCCGAGATCATTGACTCTGGAGAGGACGATAGAGATGAGTTGGAAGGAGCCAGGGAAGGTCGTCGGCTTGGGAAGTGGTAAGCTTCCAGTCCGTTCCTGATACTTGGATTGAACTGGTCTACACAGGTGCGTGCCAGTGAGGAGCACTGTGCCTGTTGCATTGCCGTGCACATCGATGGGCGGCGCGATCCGAAAGCCATGGCACTCGCTGCAGGAGTGTTGCTGGTGATGGATTGCGGGGTCAAGGATGGGGTTGGTAGTGGACCCAAGCGAGCCAGGGATGGCAGTGACGGAGTGTGGGGAAGATCAGGCTTCGGCTCCAGGAAGCGAGGCACTTGATAGCGAGATGGAGTTGGTGTGCTCTCTTGCGATCCGTAGCCATCCATCGATGGGCAGCGGTAGGGCGACGCGTTCAACTGAGGCCTCAGGGGAGGACGTACAGGAGCGTTTGCTGACTTCTTGGGAGCCAGCTGGACGATATCCAACTCAGGTGTCAAAATAGGAATGACATCTTTCCAAGTGTTGGGGATGCTAGCGCCAGGTGATGGCGGGGGAAGGGTAGGCGTGTGTCGCAGGACAACTTCTTGCCACTTCTCCCATACCGAATCAACGATGTGCAGTTTCCAGTTGACAGCTTCGAGGAAAGCCATCTCGTTGGTGTTGATTTCGCAAACCTTGAGACCAGAGATCTTGCTCCATGCGCGAGCCGAGTAGTTGCGGTCCTGTAGGTACTTGGATGCGAGGATAAGCGCAGCAAGGAACATGCGACGACCACATTGCAGCGCACGAAGAGATGCGTCTTCAGGCTGGGACATGGTGAAGTCGTGCTTGGGCAGGTGAGGCTTGATCAAGATCAAATAGTACAAGGCAACTTGGAGAGTAGAGTAGCTGGTGCGAGAGCGACGGAGGGTCTCCTGGATGAACATGCGGAGAGGAAGCACTCCACGTCCAGAAGCATTCTCACAACGGCTCTTGGGCTCTGAAAGTTGCCAGATAACCTCGACCATCTGAGTAGCGGAATCTTAAGGAGGAATAATCAGCGGGGGAACCATGGTCCAGGGATAAAACGTGTACTAACCGACGAGGCAATCGACGAAGTTGACCTTTCGGTCGGATTGCCGTACCAATTGAGGTGGGGGCTTCTGGTTGACAGTGGTCGACGATCGGCGAGGATTCTGCCGCTGCTCCAGAGGTGCCAACAGCTCAGTGCGCAGGGAAGGTAATCTCTCCTGTGCAGGCTCTCGGCACACCGTAGACTGGTACTGAGGATATGTGCTAACTCGGCTGATGGGCTGAAAAGCTGACAAGCTCGCAGGGTCGACAATTGTCGGCGGTGCCACTTGATTGCGACTCCATTCTTCTGAGTCCCAGTTTGAGTGAGACGATGTGGAGCTTGCGCTTGACGCTTGTGACGCAGCGTCTGAGAATACTGAGGAGGTGGAAGAGGAAGCGGAAGAAGAAAGGGGAGCAGCATAAGGGTGGGTCTCAGCCATGTAGCCGTGGCTAGGGAGAGGAATGGCAAGACTCATGGTGAAGGAGGGGTATACAGGACGGGGCCTGGTAAGGAAAGGTAGACAATAAGGAGTGAGCGGAGATGGGACTAGGCTTTGTCGTTACGTCTCGAAGTGCTGACCGTTAGGTAGACCTGGAGGGGTGGCGCAGAGCGTGATCGGGTGGTCGTGGGGTGACCGAGAACTTAACCGATGGGACAAACCGTAGAGGACAACCCTGTGACCTCTGACGTATAATTCGAGACGCTGTTCCCTTGTTGGGATCTTTTCCTCGATCGCGAAATCTCCTCCGTCAAGTGGCCTGATCGTGTGTGATCGTGGTGTGACGGAAGCGGTCTAACGGTCTGAAGAGCTGGGAGAGGGTAGGTTTCGAAGGCGGAACGTATACGTAGGAGGTTGGTAGGGTTTGACGAGTCGCAAGTGGAAGTAGGATTCGAGCAGTGTCAAGTGGTCGAAAAGCTGCCAGGTGCAGACTAGAGCGGGCTCCAGTCACTGTCAACTGCAGAATCACCGAAACAAGACCGTGGTAGAAGACCGTCCGCGAAGCACTCTGATGATACAGCTACTGAACAGCGGGCGCTGTCGCAAGAGCTGGATGTCTGAGGGGATGCGGGGGTCTAGCAAGCGAAGCCTTGGGTGAAGGCTTTGGTTTCGGAAATGGTGGTGAATTCTGAGCGACGAGTGACTGAAGTAGTGTAGGCCGAATGGCACATTGTGGTGATGAGGTGCGACGTGGGAAGCGTTCGAGGATGGTGACTACCTTGACGGGATCACCAAGCTGAGCGACTTCGCGTGTTCGCGGGGAGGGCGGTCGGGTGTTTGAGTGTTTGTTTGTTGCAGGTGTTTGTTTTATTATTATTGGGGGTTGGTGTACATAAGAGCTGTTGGTGGTGGAGTTGGGAGGTGTAGGTCTGACGTGTGAGGAAGTGGCGGTCGGGAAGTCGGTAAAGGTGGGAAGGCGCGACTAGAGGGCGTCGGATCGCGACGCAGGTACGGGACGAGGAGGTATAAAAGGACAGGCTCTCTCGTCTCGACGATGACTGGAAGCGCGAGATGAGTCTATGCGGTAGGCGGCAGTGTGGCGGCGACAAAGGTCGATGCGGAGACTGCTACCTGGACAAAGATGGAATGGGTCGGTTTGGGTAGGTAGACGGGTAGGCGACAGAGAACAGACGACACTATTCGCGGTTGGCGTCCTAGATTAGGCCGCAGGGGGCGCTGTAGATGTTCGTGAAGTCCATTGCTGCTGTCTTGATGAGGGTGACGGGCTGGGCGGCGCTGGCGATACTAATAGGAACCCCGTACCTACAGCGCCCCCAGTCCAGTCATCGCACCCGGGCGCACTGGCCAGCTTGCCTCTTTGCCACACAACCCAACCTTGGAAGACTCATCGCGCTGGCTTTTTTTTATTTGCCATCAGCCAGACATGGCAGTGCGTGATTTGCAGCTGCGTTGCTTGGGCAGCGACGTCGCTTTCTTGCCCCCACCGCTCCGCTGTTGCGTGAAGCAGTTGCGGGTGCTCTACCCTCATCTCGTGAGGCGTGAGACGCTCCATCATCACGCATGGCTCCAAGGCTACAGGCATGCCAACACGGCCTGCCGCCATGCCTGGCGCAGCGGTAAATGGCCCTCTGTAACCCGCCCACTCCCTGCGCGCGCTGAGGCTGTTCACGCTGATTGCGACGCGACCAGCTGCTGCGACACACGGCGTCTCCTTTTCTTTCACACTAGGCGCGTTTGCTCTCGAACGCTCCGTGCCATGGTACGCTGGTAGCGCCAGAGTCGCAGACTGCCTGCTACACCCCCTCATTCTGCCTCTCAGCCATGTTGAGATGAAGGGACCGGCCGACTGGGAGCCAAGGACGCGTCTTCCCATTGCCTGCCGCGCCATTGGACGTGGAGGCGACGCCATGCCAGGAAGGGTTATTTTGTGCCTTCACCGTGCTTTTCGTGGCTATATTTGCGGCCGACCCCCTCGACGGCTGCTGCGACGCTCGTAATCTCAGCTGCTCAGCACGCGACGCCCTCATTTGCAGCCTAGCCGGTCATCGCGGTGCCGTGATGCAGCAGCGATGCAAACACGGCAGGAAATGCCTCAGCGCAATCGCCATGGCACACAAACCCATCGCGATGACGCAAACGGCGCAAGCAGCAATGAACTGCTGCCAACACATCGCCGCCTTGCGCTGCAACGGCCCAGCTCCACTCCCCTCACCGCAGTGGCTGATGACGCCGGGCCTCTGTCCCAAAGCGATGCCAAACGCGTGCATCCGCCTCTGGCCTCGGCTCTCTACATCCGCGACCATTCGACCGTGTCTCGCGGGCGCGCGATGACCATGGTTCGCGCCTCCCACGCTCACAGCAGAGTTTGCAGCTGCATGTTCATCGTCGCCCCTTCCAGAAGCGCCAAGCGCCCGACGAGCTGACGACTCATCGGTGTTGCCCGCCCCCCATTAGCGCACCTCGGCTGCCGAGATGATCCGCCTTGGTTCAGGGCTGAGTCACGTCGACACACCAACGAGAGCCCTCTCACCATCTCCGCGCAGGCAGAAGAGACACTCGTCCTAGCGTGCCACAGACTAGATCCATAGCCTCACCCAACGGCGCAGATTTGCGCCATCCTGTGTGACCAACTTCCAAGTTTCTTGTACGAGGTACGAGGCACCTGACACCGTGTCTTCACCAGTCGCGTCGAGCAGCCTGGCGCGTAGCCACCGACTAGCATGAAACCATGATCACACGTCTTATTGATGATGATAAAGGGAGGTATGACTCACTGTTGCCTGCGGAAATCATCCTAAACAGAGGCCAGCCCAAGAGGGTTGGGCAGGCAACCGTGGGCGGCAGGAAGGCTGTGGCGGGACCGTTATGCCACTCCGATATCGACTTCCGAATCTTCGAACATGAAGACACATATCTGCCGATAAGATAGCGGTAGTCAGGAAGGGTACGCTCAGGGTCTACAAGATCCAATTTCGGTGAATAATGACATACTGGAAAGCACGGGTGTATAGCACAACCGGAGTATACCCAGATACATGTTGAGCTCAATAATTAGTGTTACCCACTGTACGCGTACGAACTATCGAATCTTGCTAGCCGGCTGGAGAAGACATCGGTTCAAGTTGTACCCACAGTCGTTTTCGCCGTGCATGTAGCCCCCATGGTTCACGCAGCCAAACGTACTTGCGAAGAAGATCGAAATTGAAGAATGTACAGTCGCTCATACTCTGCTAAACTCCAACGAAACTATGGCTTCACTTCTTTAGTGCCCATCTATCTTCCCACGAGCTACCTGCGAGTTCTTGGTATAGATCCTTCCATCCCAGGATCTTCTCCTCTGCGTCGATTATAACCTCTTCGTCCTCCGTCAGCTCTCCAGACGCCTTCCCGGGGCGTCTCTTTTGCGCCCGCAATATCGCTCTCTCCGTGTCTGTCGGTATCAGTGGCTTTCCTTCTCGCTCTCTCATTTCTCTATACCCCCTCTTTGCTTCTCTTCGTAGACGACGTGCCTCGAATTTCCACTCGTGCTTCAACGAGCTGCGAGGTCCAACTTTGCCTGCCGCCTTCGCATCTTCTAAGCAGCTGCGCAGCAACACCTCCAGCTCTTCTTTTGCATCCTTGTGCTGCTGATGCTTCAGTCTGATCGGAGGAAGATCAATGTCGTACTCCAGGAGTGCTTTCGGCGCCACCGCTAAGACCTTCTTCTTGTACTTTCGGGAGAGTTTCTGCACCCGCCTATGACCTTCAATTTTCGTGCGGTTTGGTACAAAATGCAGATCTACCTGCACATCTTTTACTATGAGCTTCTTTGCTGCCTGCTGTACCCTTTCTACGAGAGCTTCATCTCGTCCCCACGAGAGATCGCTGCTCTTTTCAAGGTTCGCAAGTACTTCTTGTGCATTCGAGAACACGATCAAGTGATTGATGTGGTCAGCCAGCGTCCCAGCAGCGCGGAAAGCTTCATGGATAGCAATGAGGCTAGCTTCAGTCCAAGAAGGGTGATGGCTCACGGTGATGTGTACTTCCCATCCTCCAGATAAGGGGCCTGTGGTAGCCTATAGCTGCGGTGCATGGGCCGTCATGAAGGCGTTTACCTCCATTGCCATCGGCCCATACGACTAGTGTGCGAGGAGAGGGCGGCTGGATGTACGTATTGAGCGCAAATTTTGTGGAAGGGACGGCATCTTGAATATGGACCGCTCCGGGGAACGTATGTGCAGTCTTCTCCTGGGCAGCCGCGGGTTCAAAGGATTCGTGCTCATGCATCTTCGCTACGAGTTTGAGCGGGTTGACTGTGTTGATCGCGAGCTGCATAGTATGAGGGGTTAGAGTTTGCCGGGTTGTTTGGCTTCGACGAGGGATGAACAGATGCTCTGATGTCAAGGTTTCGATCCTGGGAAGGCTCGCGAGTTTGGGTGGTACCAGACTTTCATACCCAGTCAGCTTTTCCTCTGCATCTATATGGTCGATGAAATCGAACCGCGGATCATGATAGAATTTACCACATCCAACACGGCTTCCATTCAAGAGGGTCCATATTTGCAATCAATGCTTGGGATGCATAAAGGGGTACGTTCTTCCACTTTCAAGTCCTCGCACCACACACTTTCTTCGTCCCATCTGAGTCAGGATGGCATCACAGCGAACAGACATCGGACGTGAAGACAAATTCTTGTCGGAGCATCAAATTTATGAATTCCGCTTTCTCACCACAGTCTTATCTTGGACAAACAATCTTGAAAAGTCTACTGGCCACAACAAATTCAACAATCCAGCCTCGAAACATGCACCACTGTACAGGTTCACCACCAGTCCAGCAGATTTGCTCGTCCGTCACTTGGAGATTGTTGCGGTAATGGCTTCGGACGAAAAGAACGTCCTCGCAGTATACGACAACAGCGGGGAAGCAGAGCTAGATCCCCAAGAAGATGAAGAGGTGAATGTTACCCAGAATCTGCAAGACTTCAACCGAGATACAGAGTCGGCAGACAAGGGAAAGCATCCACCCCTTAACATCAATTCCACTTCGACTGCTGCTGACGTCCCATCAACGTCTGCGGGGGAATGACTCCTCCGTGTGACCTTGGCTCATCCTGTCGCCCAGAAATTTCCGAAGACTAATGTCACTTTTGGCACGCATTTTACAAACGTCGTAAAACTCGCCGAAGCTACTTACACCGCCAGCGACAAGAAGGCTGCTCGCAACCTACTCAACAACTACATCCTGTTGTCTTCCAGTGCAAAGATCATGAGGCGGATCAAGAAGGGAATGCCGAAGGATCGAAACTTGTACGAGTTTCTCACCAAGCCAGGAAGCGACCTGATCCATGGACTTCAGGAGACCGAGCTGGACTTTTCGACTATCCTAATTGTCGTCGCCAGCGAAGATACCCTCGGGAAGACGCTCACTCGACGCGAACAGAGTGTCATCAAAGAAACTATGCAGCTTCTGAAAGTTAAATCTGAAGCCAACTTGGGTGTCCTTACCAATTACGACGCGAAGGTGGTTGTGAAGACCAGGACGCTGTACGAACCCATGAGCAAGATCGCAGATGAATTCGCAATCAACGACACGATGTCATACAACAAGCAAACGGCAGAGTTCCTACAGTCTATGCTCAGCGCGGTCTTGATCAACGTGAAGGGAAGCTTCAAGGCCCTAACGTTTGCCAAGCGTCAAGCACAACTGTACAAAGCCGGCAACTACGATTTGGCATTGGCAAATGACCCAGTCGTAAGCCAATACATACACGAGTCTGGTCGCTCTCTCGACGAACTGGCCACCAAAGCAGGCTTATGGTTACACGTACTGACAGTATGCAAACAAGTTTTGCGGGAGTATTTGACAGCCAATCTCCGACTCGTTCGTTTTGTCTACGCTCTCAAAAACGTTCGAAGGCTCAGAGTCTTGGACAAGCAAAAACACCAAACGGTGGACCCGGAGGTTGCAGATCTCGATTCGATTTCCGCGAAGGAGCGATGGGAGGACGCAGCTATGGCCTGGCTAGATCTCACCTGTCTCCATCAGACAGCCTTTATGAGCCTAAGCTGTGCCGGAGAGCCAACGCAACGCAACAAGGACTACGAATCATACCTGTTCGCTGCCAGCTTCCGATATCTCGAAGCATCCACGAGCCAAATGGACAAACGGTTGTTCTTCACCAAATATCTGAAAGAGGTCGAGAAAGCTCCGGGCGAACCTCTCACAAATGCTGAAGTCCAGACCATCCGACAGTGGTTGCTAACCGACGGCTATGGCTTTGGTTCTGGTGCCACTTCCAAATTCGAGACTCCAACGCTCGAGACGAAGAATTTCTCAGGCACATACCATTGCGAGGCAATGCTGATTTGCCTCTACTTGCTCTGTCGCAAACGCGACTACTTCGTGGACAAGGATGCCAATGCTGATTTACCCGAGAACCTTCACCATTACCTACGCTTACCTCCCAAGAGTATAACTGATACCATGCGGAAAGCAATGGATGTGTTGCCAGTATCCAAGCGTTGTTGCCCAGCGTGCCATGCCTTGGTGCGATATCTGGTAACATATCACAAGTGTAATCTCATGTATGCCGGTAACCACGGTGTATGGTTTGCGACTGCTCTCCCGCCTTGGATCCCCAAACCTGCCGGTCTTCATATTTTGGCGGAAGCTAGAAAGGCCCTCAGTTACCGGTTCCAGTATATCTTGAATAGAGAGACAGCCCCACCAGGCTCGGACGATAGCTGGAAAACCGACGAAACCTCACATCACTTTTTGACAGTGCAAGGAGACACTTCTCTGCCGCAGACTGGAGCCTACAGCTCTCCGCGACTGCCCACGGTCGTTGAAGGCTGGATATATCCGGACCGTAAAGCGCGAGCCAATGTTACGATTGCAATGGGCGGAGCGCGGGCATCTAATCACGCTAGGTAAGTTCGGTCAACTCCCACATTGCGTGTCGAATCTGCGTTCGCGCGGGCATCTAATCACGCTAGGTAAGTTCGGTCAACTCCCACATTGCGTGTCGAATCTGCGTTCGCGCGGGCCTCACTCGATACTGGGCAAGAAGCAGCGGGGAAGCTACGAAGGAGGCGCGGACGGCGGGTGATGGATAATCAGGTACCTCGACGTATACGACGAGCGCTATGCGGAGAATTCGCGTCCCGAAAGCAAGGGCTGGAGATCGTCGGCTTGTCAGGGCAGTGTCGGTTGTCGGTGCTGGTGTTAGCTGTTAGTGTAGTCGGGGCTGAGGAGGTTGACAGTATCTCGGTTCACTAGCAGCCGCTATGGCGTCACACTTAATTAGCAAGCATCGTACCGCAAGGCTTTGACTTGCTCGGAAGATCATCCCGAAACGCAGTATCGTCTTCGCCGACGTGTTATTTGAGTTGTTTGCAAGCCGGGAAGGTACGATCATCGCATCCGCATAGATGGCTGATGTTAGTCCGTATGGTTGAATCGGTGGTATTCCACGAAAACACACTTCATGATTGGGGGTGCATGGCAAAAGGAAATGTTACATCGATCGAAAGTGGTACTCATAGATGACTGGAAAGCGAGACTTGGCGAAGACGTTTGATTGTAACAATATGGTATATACGAATATAATTCAAACGCAAGTTCTCTGATCTGCTTCCATGCTTATTAAGTACCCGCTCATAACTCCCTGTGATTCAAACGGACTCGAATGTGCCATATCTCTACTTTCACACACGTACATACGCCTCAGTTGAAGCTTCCGGGCATGAAAGGACACCTTCCGCCCTCAGCATCAGTATTAGAAGACGACGACACAGCCGGGTGGTCAGCAGGCAAACCCTGGGTGGTCGACATCTTCTCTTCGGTTGTCATCTTATCAAGACGTTCGATCGTCTGCTTAACCTCCTCTTTGCTCTGGATGAACTCATCGGGTAGCTCCTGCTCCTCGGGCGCCTTGATGCCAGCCTGAGCTTCGTCGAGGGCGTCTGCCGGTGACATGTTCTTGGGCTTCTCTTCCTTCTTCACGACGCCGTCAGGCGCGATCTGCCTGAACATATCCATCGGGTCGAACCAGGTACGAACGGACTGTAGCTGCACCTTGTCGTTGACCGTCGCGACCGTGACACCTTGGATGTCGATTGAGCCTCCATGTGCTTTGGCTGTGACCTTCTCGCCCTTGTTGTTGAAGCCGACGTAGTCGTTCTTCATTTGGCCCCAGTGGCGCCATCGGAAGCTGACTGTTGGTGGGCCGCTGTAGACTTCTAGTACCTCCCATGCGAAGGTAGGCATCATGCGCTTGAACGTCTTGTGTGACGAGGCAAAGTCGGAGTAGTCGGGCGAGTAGTACTCGTTCGGCGCAATGATAGCATTGTATGTGCCGACCTTGAGCATAGCCTCTGCACCTTCAGCCTTGCCGCCATTGATAGCGAATGAGTAGTTTTCCCGATCGATCGTACGCCAGTCGTCGATGTTGGGCTTGAAGGACGCTTCGACTTCCCAGTTCTTGACGAGATTCTGTACGAGCTCAGGAAGAGACCCAGCCTCGTGTGTCATTTGCTTTGCTGTGCATGCTTAGTAAACTGCATTGTGTCTGACATGCAGGCTCATTGCCACATCTGGTAACTTACTCTCAGCGAACACCTTTCTGGTTTTTGAGTAATCAGGCGCTCTGCCGTATCGCCACTTGGCATCATTGTCCCCCAGAACAGCATCAGGGTTTGTGAGGTAGTCAGGTAGTGCGGGTGCAGCTTCCTGCGCAGGTGGTTGCTGAACGTCTGCGCTCGCCATTGTGGACAGTGAGTATGTGATGGAGTAACTTGGATGAAAAGAATGTACAGATCTGGGAAGACTAGTACTGAGGAAGCGCGACTATGCCTGGTATCAACCTGATGTGGCAAAGTGTTATGAATTTTGAAGTGGTACAAATATGCTGTCAAACCGAGGAAAGACACTCATGCTTTATATGTTGGGTGTAGTCAGTAAGCAGGGTAATACCCACACCAATCGACGCCAGTCAACAATGGCTTGATGACCCTGCAGCTGTGATACACAGCCTCTATCCAGTAGTTTGCGGGCGGGAAGGGTAGAAACCTCCGCAAGGGGATGCTGAAGCGGCTGGGCGAACTTTCCCACCGTGAAGCAGACTGGAGAGGCAAAGTGATGTGGGGTGCCAGCCGTCAAACTGATAGCCGGGACGAGACGGGGCAAGAACTGCCTGGACCTAAGGGTCTAGTCCGTTAGACGAGTATGCCTAGATGCATACATGGTCAGGTTGTACCATGTCGGAATGCCCGTTATATTCATCTGAACTCAGGTTGCACAGGCTGTTAGCTTTGTGAGACTGTTACATAGCGGAGACTCCATCTCGAGGCTCTGACTGCATTCCTATCCGCTGTATTTGCTTCTCTTTGAGGTCGCAATATTGCATTTGCCATCGGCTGCTCCTCGCCGTTGCAGCGCTGTAGCGGCACGCTTAGCGCAATCACATAAGGGCCCAGGGTGAAACAGCGGAAGACGTGCCGAGCGGGAGATCGCTTGGGGCGCAACTCCGAGGAGGCAATATATAGCTCGCTTGTTTGAAGTTCTCCAGATTCGCGTTCGAGACTCTGGTTCCAAGATGCAGTGATATTGCCAAGCAGGCAAGGCGGCCAAGGTGGAGAGGTTGAAGCAATCGTGTTGTCGTGAAGGAGCATCAAATCTAGACTTGGGTAAATGCAATGAGCAAATTTCGCAGCGGTATTCGGGCTCCATCCACTAGCCATGTACAACCAGCAACCTTGGAAAGTCCCTGACAGTTGAGTAGGCCGAACACGCGGAGATCCCGAGGTCAGGCTAGTCATGCCCCGTACGGCTTGTTGCGTCTCAGGATGATTGCAAACTTTGGTACAGAGCTGATCTTCTTATTGTAGTGCCTCTGCAAGGTTGCTGGTGACGGCTCCAAGACACCGATTAGGTCCCATTGAAGGTACCAGATACCGGGAATAACTACCTGTTACACGAGCACGAGGTACACCGAGTTTCTCTCGTGTCAGACAAGATGGTTGAGAGCGTATCGGCAGAAGCCGTCATGGACGCCCTCGAATGCGGCGGATGAAATCAAACTGTGGCGCTTTTGTGGCGGTTATGCTGGGTGCTAAACGTTAGCTGCAGCACAGAGAAGCCCGCCAGCCGTCTCGTCAGATCTAGCCGATCCTCGAGATTGCTCATCCACATGGGGGGAACTCCGATTCTTCGTGCGAGCTGCTCAACATTTGCGGCGATGGAAATTTGGCGCGCTGGTGAAGATGCGAGGCGCAGACAACACAGGCCTTGTCTCCAGGAGGCTCATCGTTAGCGCAATGACATCATCCTGACATTCACGGGCCTTCCAAGGTTGGGACTGTAGCGTTTCACGCGTCCGCAACGCTGCCTTCTGTGTACTCTACCAACAACAACCGCGACAAAATTGAATCAACATGGGACGTCGAGACCGTCTCATCAGCGCGTCTATATTACGCGCCATCTTCAGATCTGATTCGCCTCGTAAGGATGAAAGCGCGCGATTGGGTCTATTTGCGCGCATCTATGCCTTCTTCGCTGTCTTCAGTCTGACTCTCGCTCGTTATCGCGCATCTCTGTTCAAGAAACTGAGGAATGACACATGGGAGATTGAAGAGGAAGGGTACATCGAGAGCTTCCGCCCAAGCACGAGCAAACGGACCGATCTGATCGCCATTGGGGATCTGGGCTACTCAGGCTCGGTACGCGCGGAACATCGCATCTGAGGACGACACGCTAATGCGCATCAGACATTCTTCACGACACCTGATTCTAAGTACCTGATCAAGTCCCTGCCGCGCAAGTTTGAGCAATCCTTCTTCCGTGATCGCCTCCTCGAGCCCTATGTCGAACATATGGAGCTGAATGAGGACTCCCTCCTCGTCCGCATAACCGACCTCCTCTACTGTCCTACAGCTACCGTCGGAGCCGCTGTAGGCACCGCGCCGAGCCATCATATAATAATGGAGAACATTCTGTACGGGAAGTCGAGCTGCAGCAAGGCCCAACAGAAGCGATGGGAGACATATGACCTCAAGCCCAATGACTACTTCTACCCAGAACGTGACGTGGCTAACGGGCGCCTGGCCCCCGAGAGCGTCAAGGAGCGCCTCATTGATGAATTCGAAGACAAGATCAGAGTGACTATCGATCAGAAAGAGGAGCTTGTTGCGCAGCTATCCAGGGATTCTAAGATTCTACAAGGCAATAATGCGGTTGACTACTCGCTATTCCTGGTCCGCTATCCCGCCGACCTGAACTCTGGTGATGTGCCGCCGCCCCCTGGTCGAGGATCTACATGGCGCACAGGTGTCGTATCGCGTGACGGCAAGTGGGTTTACCGGGCCATCGTACTCGACTTCTTCTGGGCGAAAGACGCACTCCAGGCCCAGACGATGACGGGACTCGTCAAACTCTTCAACACGTTAAAGTTTGGGAAAGATCATGGCCCGATGAGCATTACGACGACGAGCGATGAGTATAGACAAAGATTCCTGGGAATGGTGGAGGACATGGTCGAGGTACCAGACAGCGCTGGCAGACCAGCAGGGGAAATACGCAGCCCTGCATCGGTAGCTGCTGATCAAGTGTAGTCGAGCGGCCCCATGATGTTCATCTCATGCCCTTCGTTGTCGGTCTGGCGTTGGGTTATTCTGGAGTAGTAGGATGCATAAGATACCCGGTCCATGCGCATGCAGTTGGACGCTCAAATTCTAATCACATTCCTCGATGAAATCCGTACGAGTGCGCGTAGAAAGCCATGGTCGTGTAACCCATGTCATGATGGCGGTGAAGCACAAAAGTCCAAACGTGGCGTCATCGCACATAGCCCCAACCCTCCGAGTGGTCGATGTCACGAAGCCGACGAGGCTTGCCAACGCACAGCAATGTCACGATAGGCTGCACCCTGGTCATTC